ATAAACACTCTGGTGCGTACATAATGCGTCTCCGATTGGCCTTCGATTTTCTAGTACGTTTTCGCATTTTCATTTATTTATTTACTTTTATCCGTCAAAATAATTGCATATTTATTGAAGTGCTGTGCTTTTAGCCTTGACTGTCTGCGATTGGCAAACTAAACTACGCTATGGCCATTGGATAGTGCAAAAGCATTTGCCTATAATGAGGTTGTGCTCTGGCTTTTGTCTATAAATGAAGTGACGTTATTGAGTTAATTTAGATATGTATTTCCACTGATTAGTGGAAATTTTCCATTAGCACCAAGCCATGATATACGTTTGTGGAGGTGAAGTAATTTTTTTATTCATTTGAATATAAAACTGGCTCCGCTTGGTTGGATTTTAGATAGATTGATATCATTAATGTATTTCAAATGGCATTATTTAATTGAAGTGAGGGCTTCTGTTTTTATTTTAAAGCTACAGCTTTAGTTAAATACTATTCCCAAGAGTTAGTTCGTTGTTTTTTTTGTTGCTTCGTTAGTTTAGCTCAACATTTTTTATTTATTTTGTTTTAAAATAATTTAAGCTGAAATTTCCAATCCTTAGTACTTTGCAAAATATCGGAAGATATTTAAACTTATGAATGATTTTTTTTTATTCAATCATTGTTTTAGGAAATAATTGTTCTAATCAAATCATTTAATGGCCTTATTAGTAGAATACGGTTTTTGATAACGACGAGAGCGTCAGGTGTGTGTTTTGAGTATAGATTTGTATTTAATTGTTCGGCATGCTGCCAACCATATAGAAAGGGGTGTATGTTTTTAGTAGAGAGTACTAAATTATCCAACATGCTAGACTACAACATTCTCTTTTCATTTTATAGCTTACGTTATTACTACGTTAATATCGATCTCGCATGGCTCAGCAGCAAGGTTTAAAGCTCAATTAATTCACTAATTTAATGCTTTGTTATAAATTTAAGTTCCAGATAATCTATTCCTAATTTTCTACCTGTCAAGTTAATTATATAATTTTGTATGCAAATTAGTCTCTAAAGTCCCTCCAAGCTGGACTTTCCTTATTCACAACCTGACTAAATGGGTGCAGTTTCAACTCTGACAGCTAAATTAGGTAACTGGCCTTTTGACCGATATTCACAGTCCATATTCTACAGCATTGACTAATGTCATGTATTATGTATGTATTTTTGGCTGGACAGTGCCAAAATCTTTCTGTCGTTGGGTTAAAACTTTTGTATGGCTGATTGATTTGTGAAGAGGAACAAAAAAGTCAAAAGTTGCGACCGCTGTCAATCGAGCGGTCAACATTTTTGTTGTTGTTGTTTGCGGCTGACCAAAACAAAAGGTTCAATTGAGCATTCACTCAATTCTATTTCATGGCCAGTCATTGAGTGACAAAGCGTTGTTTGAATTTCTAATTCTGGGGGGTGAGCACAAACTTCATTTTTCTACTATGTGTGTGTGTTTTTTATGTTTTTCTTTTCGTTGCTCGAGTTGTCCTGCAGCCAATTGGCATATTTAAGTTGCATAGTTTGTTCCATTAAACGCTTTGCCATTTTCCATATTATTTAATAAGGCAAAAGCTTTTAAGTTGTCCATTTAACACTTAAGCCTGAGCAAGCAAACAACAGTTCTCTGGCTTTAACTGGACAGACCATATAAAGAAAGTACTGTGAGACACATTTGAGTGTGCGATTCTAATAATTTTCAGTAATTTTCACAAAATCCATGTGAATTCGAATGAACAGAATGCTTGTGCATGCATTAGCATTAACTGCTACTGTTTGTGAATGCAATTGGAATAGAATAAAGGCGCCAGAGGCATGGCCAAGTTAAGGTCGCTAACAATGCCAAAAGGTGAGCAATAAGCTTGGCATACAGTTCGAGCTTAAAGTAAGTTCAATTCATTGAAATAAGCGACTGTAATTTTTTAGTCAGTTTCCTTTTTAAGTCACTTCTTTATAACCGAAATCTATAATAATAATCTATAATATAATAATATTCCCCCACCGGGTCGGAGGCGTTACTTAGTTAAATTAATTAGTTAGTTGATTAATTTCTCCTTCTTTTCTAGCTGAAAAGATGCTTTTTATAATTTTTATATATTTTCCTCTTATGTCGACAGTCAATGTTTGTTGACATAAATAAATAAATATTTTCGATTATGGTTTGTGGAAACATTCCTTCAAAATGTACTGCTTTATTTATTATGTGTTGGATAGCATGCATTTCTTGTAACTATTTAAGCTTGTGCTCATACCTATTGACACCAATGTATAATTTAAAATAACGACTGCCAACCCATTCATTGCTGCATTCAGTAATATTTGCCTTATCAGTTATCATAATAATTGCAGCTGCATATTGTCCTTGCATATTATTGCATTCCTTGCATACCCGTGATTGTGTGTGTGTGTGTTTGTTGTGGGGCTGTATGTATTCGTATGTTTGTTGTACTTGTTTTAATGATGACAAGTGTTTGCATTGGGAACATAAACACGCACACACAGACACACTTAATTGGCAGTCAGCATATGCATAAATAACGGCTCGTTAAACTAGCTCGACTTGTAACTCTGTACTGTACCTGTCTGTATGTCCTGTACTATGTACTATGTATATGAGTGTGTGCGCACAGGCAAATTTAAATTATAAGCACACGGTGCTCCAATAAACTCTGCTCATTATATCTGCTGTAACGACGTGTTGCGCAGCAACCAGCTGTGCGTCATTACGATGCCAAGTAGTTGTAAATTAATAAGTAATTGTAAGAATAGTAAGCCATGAAGGCGAGTAATTTTAAGTTCGGTTTAGGTTAGTTCACTTCTGGTTCTTGGCTCATGCCCAACGCGCACTGAAGCGCTCTGTATGTTGTTTTACAATTAAAGAAACACGTGGAGAAGTTTGGGCATACCGCCCTCATTTATTTGGTGGACACCTCGGCACTTTGGGGTGCCTAATTTATTTCAGCATACTCTGGCCGGCGAGCATACCCGCGGCAGAGTAACAACGTTACACTGCTAATAAATTGTCACAGTAATTGACAGCAAAACACAAGCCCACACAAGCCCAACATTTTTGGGAATATGAAACTTGAACTGGGTCGACAAATTTCTAACAGACGGTTATCAAGCAAGCTGAATAAAAAATTTTTGGAATGCACTAAATAATACGAATGAATATTTGAAATCGGTAAGCAACAAAGATAACATTTGTAAATACAGTGAAATCAATAGTATGCAAAGTTTGGAAATTGTGTAGAGTATTGGCCTAATAGTGCAATGTGGAAAGAAACCAGGAGAGAGGAGTTTTAGGAACTATGGCCTCAGCTGTTTCCGAAATCGTGCATCCGCACGTATAGTCTGACGGGCCAATTTGTCTGATGCTGATTCAGAATATATTTTTGTACTTTGTGTAATCGGAGCTGCTTCGTACAATACGAATATACTTGTACATTATTAACACTTTGGGTACAGGGTGTTGACGAAGATGCTGCTTTAGATTAAGATAGTTTAAGGGAACTATTTGAATTTTAGTTTAGGGCGAAAAGAGAGCGCGAGAACGGCCGTTTGCCGACGTCGCCTCGCGCATTTTTTTTGCCCGCTTTTTGCTTAGTTTAGCATGTAAGCCGAATTTGAAGTTTAGTTGTAAACTAGACCTAAATAGAAGCAATTGCCACTCATCATTTTCGACCTCGCTACTTTCCGCATTAAAATAGTATCAAAAGCAAGCGTCCCAAGTCTTTTCGAAATTAAATTAATTTATATAAAATAATATAAATTTGCACAGGGCATAAAAAGCATTAAAGGAGTAGAGAATATTCCAAGCTATATTTTGCCAGATTTTGTACTTCCTGAAGATAAGAGTGGAGATGTTATCCATTTGCTTCACTTCTGGAATCTTTAAAAAAGAGGCATCATCCGAGCTCATCTTCTTGCAATCAAATTGCTCTATTTTCTCACTTGGGTATTTTCTTTACGGCACGACAAAGAGTTTGAAATTATTTGTTCTATTCAGATATAATATTTGGGACGACAAATCACAATCTAACCAAATGATCAATAAATTGCTTTATATTAATTGCAAACAATTAACTAATTTACAATTAATTAAAGCGACAAAGTCAGAAAAAGCGCACAAACTGACAGAAGTGCAAAAAAAAAAAAAAAACTAGCTTTACATCTAATTGTAGTACTGAAAGGCCTGATAATAATAATGCCACACATAACACTTTAATATAACTAGTTTGCACTAATTAGTTTTAAAACAAAAGCTATCATAAATTAAAATAAATTTAAGCGTATAAGCCATTCAAGTTAAGTTGATCAAAGTGAACAAATTCTAATATTCTCCTATAATTTATTTGTAATGATTTGTTTTTTAAACATCCCATCATTTAAAAATGATGCATAAAAATGGAGTACTGAGGGTGATTTAATTGGAAGCATTTAAAAGAAATGCATCATCAAAGAGGTATTGTCCCCATGGTTCGTTTAAGCGTCAGCATAATACTTATATTTTGAGCTTCAGCTGCCCTCAGGTATCAATTAGCCTGTGTAGGGCAAAGAAATATTGTAATTTACACATCAGCAAGAACGGCGAGACACGACACACACGCAGACAGACACCTGAGCCCCCAATTTGGCGAAAACCAAAAAAGAGCCAACCTTCGTGCGATGTTCATGTCAATGCCGAGGCATCATAAATAAAAAACCAATTAATTTATCGTCGTCTGAGTGCTGCAGACAGACAAGGTACAGACAAGGTCCAGACAAGGTGGCGAGAGCGCAGGGCCTACAATGAGGCCAAGACTGAGGCAGCGAGCTGTCTATTAATGCGTTCGGAACCAGCCAGTGGTGGGTGCGTGACACAATTTTCCGCTTAGTAGAACACGAATTCACTCGCGTCTATGGCGTAGTTGTCAGGAATTTATATTTCAAATCATATGTTTTTAGTTTATCTCTTCTCGATAATAGAAAATTCAAAATTTCTTGAGCATGTCGGTCGATATTTTTACGCTGGGTGAGCAATCGCACATCGATGAGATTATATCGGAAATAATCAATGCACGTTGTGGAAAACCTCTGCATCTGGCTGAGTCTGATATTGAAAAGATATGTGTGCGTTCACGCGAGATATTTTTAAAGGAGCCCATGCTCCTCAAACTAGCGGCGCCAATCAAAGTCTGTGGCGACTTGCAAGGCCAATTTATAGATCTGTTGAACTTCTTTGATCATGGGGGCCATCCGCCTGCAGCGAAATATTTATTTTTAGGAAACTATGTTGACCACGATAAGCAATCCTTTGAAACAATAAGTCTGCTGTTAGCCTACAAAGTAAGGTTCCCCGATCATATTTTTCTGCTGCATGGAAATCACGAGTCGGGCACTATAGAGCGCATCTACGGATTCTATGACGAGTGCAAACGAAGGTATTCCACCAAGCTGTGGCGCACATTTGTCGACTGTTTCGGTTGCATGCCTGTGGCAGCCATTATAGCCGATAAGATCTTTTGCTGTCCCGGTGGTATAACTTCCCGCCTACACAGCGTAGGGCAGATTGCGAGATTGCCTCGTCCCTACATGGTGCCTGATAAAGGACTGCTCAGCGATCTACTCTGGTCCGAGCCGAACTCAAAAATTGTGGGCTGGAGCGACAACGATTGCGACACATTTGGCGTGGAAATTATCGAAAAGTTCTTGAAACGTCACAAATTTGACTTAATTTGTCGCTCCCATCAGATTGTCGACGAAGGCTATAAGTTTTTCGCTAATCGCCAGCTGCTCACCATTTTCTCAGCTCCCAACTATAGCAGCGAGTATGAAAATGCAGGGGCTATGATGAATGTAGATGAATCGCTCCAATGTTCCTTCTTCGCGCTCAGGCCGTCCAGGAAAATTTGCATACGGAAAATACATTCCACTTTGTGAACTACCGTCTGTATTTGATATGTTTCTGAACTAAACAAAATTTGCAAGTTAATAAAAAGTTCTTGAAGATTAAAGAAGTGATTTCTTTTTCCTATTCTTAATTTTATATACATATGTATGTGTTCTTCTGAGCTGAAAAATAACTACTCAAGGTATAAACATAATGTGTTTGATAGGAAATATTTAAAATGAGAATATTAAGGTGTTATATACTTAGTATTTATAAATGTTATTTAATTTGGAAGCGCCCAGGAAACAAATAGCATGATTAAAGCAATTTAATGGTTATTTCATTTTTAGAAATAATTTCATTTGCAATAATTCAAAGCTTTTGATTCCCTTAATAAATTAAAAATATATGCTCTTATATCTATACAATAGTTATAGTTGATAAAAGAATTGAGTTTCATTTCAATTGAGTTTGTGTTGTGAGTTAAAGTTAATTTTTACATATTTTTATTTATTTAGTTCAAAAAGTAGGGAGTGTATATATAGATTTGACTTTTCTTACTTGCCGTTTTAATTTTAATTTGATCAGGATTAATGGATTAAAGTACTTTACGAATGGTACGCACACCCCACTGTTTAGGAAAGAAAGCTAGGCTTGATCGATTTGCCCATTTTATATTGTAATCTGCTATTATCCAGAGGATTAAACTTTCATACATTCGCATATACTTGCCATCTCTCATCGGATAAGTCGCTAAGATTTATTCATATTTAACGATAAAGTGGTAGAATTTCCATTCATGCAGTCGTCCCGGCGGTTGAAGGCAAACAGTTCTTACCATTTGATTTCAATGACCTCCGATGTACTTATAGTGGGTCCCTTGGGTAGTTTATAACTAATAATAAATGCATGTGTCCAGTATTTTTAGAAACCTTAGCAAGCTCATTAAACAGAACACCAATAGGTCAGATTGTTTAGGTGCATAGAATGCCAAAGGGCGGTGGATAATGATGTCCGAGTGCCATTGTCGATGGGAGCTATCCATTTACTTCAAACACTTTAAAACTTGGACTGTTGCTCAAAATATTTAGAAGTAGCACTCGTGGTGTGCTTGCTTTATCTTTAAGTTCAAGAACCCCTTAAATACAAACGAGTATTTGGCAAGAGTGCAATGTTACATGTATTGTAAGTAGATTTGGCAGCATGTCGAAAGCAAGTCAAGGCGTTAAGCCAAAATAGCTTTAATGGCAGTTACGCACGCAGAATGGCAGGCAGAGGCAGAGGCTGAGGCAACAGCAGCAGCAGCAGCAGCAGCTTCAGCCACGCTGCTGCCAATGCCATTATCCATAATAGCAACAACAAAAGTGAAAGCCACAACAGTTGTTAGTGGAAAAAACATGTTACCCATACGCCATGTTGTGCACACACACGTGCATTATAAATGATCTGCTTTAACTTGTTTGTGTTTTGTTTTGTTTTGTTTTTGGTGTTGCGTGCAGGTGCGTGTGTGTACGTTGACTGTTATTCCAGTTGTTGTTGTTTGCTTTTTGCATATTTTTCACCTTAGCTCAATAATGTACGTTAGCTCGTTTGGCTTGGTTTGTAAAGCTATTTTCGTATGTTTGCTGCTTGCTTGCCGCTTGACGGTGAAGGTGAAAGCATTTAAGGCTAAACATAAGCTGCCAAATGACTTTGTGGCCATTGAAAGGCGCAGTGCGAAGCGCGGCGTCGAGGCAGTGGCAGCGGCAGCGGCAGCGGCAGGCGCCACAATGCCTGCCTAAGCACGCACATCCGTTGCAGGCATTAGAGGTGCGCGTGTGATAATAGTTGCTTTTAAAATTTTACATTTACAAAACCAAGTCTTAGAGCGAAGTTTTGCTAGGTATCTACGGATAAAGAGTGGAATAAAATGTCTAGAGCTCAGATGTTTTCGTTGCAGATCGCTACATCGATGGAATTTCTAAATATTTCTAAAGTCCCGATATGTCATAAAAAAGAATTTTAGAAAAGCTATGAATAGTTTTATGGAATTGCATTAATGCAACGCAAAAAAGATCGCGAATAGATGATTTGAAAATCTAGACAGATTAGAAGTTGTAAAAAAAATGATTTACATTAAAAATGTAGCAACCTCTTTGAAAATTTTTTAGTTTGTGTTCGTTTTAGCTCTCATCGAATTGTGAATTTGTACCAGAAGTTCTGATTTAGATGGATTAGGAATACTATTTTGAGTATCGAATAAATGAATTATTTTTTAGAAAATATATAAAGTCACAGGAATGGCCAATATTTGCTTGTTTTTGAGAATAAAGTAGAGGTATACTATTGGAATCACTTGTTAATCGAATGTTAATATAATAACCACAATACTTCTGGTGTTTATGTGATGGTTGTAGTTTTTAGAAAACTATTCAATTTTTTCGCATCCACTCTCTTTTCACATCGAGGAACGTGCTTTAAGCATAATTTTGAATTCACGGACATCGCTAGCAGCTATATCGGTTTATTTGTAGTTATAGCTGATGTTTTTGTTGTCGTTTCTGCTGTGCGAGTCAAGTCAACACATTAGTGCATGTCGCTACGTCTACTCGTGTCTCACCTGCTCAATGACGCTTAAATTTAAATTTAGTTGGGCCCATTTGTTGCCAACTGCAATGCGATAGATACCCCAGTCCCAAGACCCAGTCCAGGCCCAGTTCCTCCTTTACTTGAACCCCACCACTGACAAACAACCGCAACATTTGGCAACAACAAAAACCACAATAGCGACGTATGCCACCCTTTCTGTGCTTAATGGCTTTTTGATAATACACATATACTTGTAGTACACACAGGCACAGAAATTATATAGCTGCTGTTATTCATTTCTGTTGTTTTTTCTGTTTAACTATCAACGAATTTATTAAAGTTTAGCTGACGACAATAACAAAAATAACAGACACAACAACAGGAGGCAAGCCAAACAGGTAGATGGGCAGCAGAAGTTAGTCTTGTTGGTGCTGCTTTTTATTTATGCTCGTAGTATCTGTTTTTTTGTTGTCTGCCAGTTGCGGCACAAGTTTTTGGCGCGTTGCCTAAGTTGCCCGAGTTGCCACCAAAAATAGGGTGCGTTGTTGGATCGGTGGATGGGGCGGATTTTCATCTATCACAGGATAGAATGTTTGTTTTGCCACCGCCCGGCATGTTTCGGTATTTTTCTCTCTACGCTTCAGCGTTTTTTGTTTTCCATTCGAATTTGCGTTTACGTTTACGTATTTGTTTGGTTTGATTTGGTTTCGCATGTCCTCACACGCACACGCACACTTGCACGCACGCCCACATGCATGTGGGACCTTTGTACTGGCTTGCCACTTCCGCTGGCCCTGCACTTGTGAGCAGAAAGGCAAAGAAGAAAGAAGGCAAGAACGCAGAGCGTGTGAATTGCCGAACAGTACCCTTTTTTTCTTTTATCGAACAACTCCTGGTACGTAAGTGTTGGGCCACTCACTGCCCATCCATACGTAAGTAGGTGAAGGGTTAAGTTTATATTTTCTGGAAATATTCTGCTTGCCTTTTTATTGTAGAGATGGTTATATGTTGGCTTATACCTATGCCGAAGGCCACAAAAAAATAAAATAATCAATGGTAAAATATGCGATTAGAAAACTAGGCGTAATAGTATGAAAAGAAGGCTATCATGGCAAAGCGACAAATAAAGTTGTTATTTGCAGGATGCGACTTACTTCTGATTGTGGTATATACTATATGCTATTGGTGGTAATTGGCAACGCTCATTAGTATACAACCATATGTAATAGTACCGATCTGGTAACAGACAGTAGCAGTTAAGTTACATATTTGTCCTCAATAAAAGTAGTCTCTCATAAACGTTCAACAGAAGCAGATCACTCTTTCTTATTTCCCCCTTCTATGCAACTTGAAATTACCAATAGCTATAGACTGTAGTAGACCTTAACTTCGCTATAGTCCTTCAGCTGAATTAATCTTAAATTATGGAGAACATAAAATTATGTAAGCTCATTAGCGTCGGGTAGCAAAAGCAAAAGGAATTAGAGCTATTAACGTCATTCGCGTATGATTGTCAGCTGCCCGGATTCGTATATGCACAAGTCTAATTATTAGTATCTTACACTTTTCAAAAGTCACAAGCTGTTCACATTTATTCGATTTCCATGCAGTGCAACTAATCAATTAACTTACTGCAGTGATCAGAGATTCAGAAAAATTAATTTCCAAAGAAAAATTCGACATACTTGTAATTCAGCATATACTGTTATTTTTCTACCTCTTCTGCAACCTACTGGTGCTTTTCATAATCAAATTCACACTAACATATACACAGAAATACATGCACAAGTGGAAAAGTTGTTAACAATTCTTTGTATTTAATGTTTGTGGCCATTGTGTGGCTATTTTAACATGCACAACAGCAGGCGCTGTAATAGCAGCAATCATAGCAGCAACAATAATTACAAAAGCAGCCGCAATAATAATAACAATGGCATTAATAACATGCTTAGCATATTTAACAATTGGTTTTATGGCTAATTACTCATAAATACAACGAACGCATTTTGTAGATGTTGGCAACGTGTGGTATACGTGATATTTTTGTTAGCAATCGCGATTCGCAAATATTGTATAAATTATGGACGTATTTTAATTATTTTAAATTACTTGCAGCAGCTTGTCGCAAAAGTGTCAACATCGTTGCGCTCTGTTGCACCCCAGCGAATGGGCGGGGGGCGTGACTTTTGGAAATATACTTGTACTTGTATATAATAATTGGGTTATAAAAACAATGAACAGCAATAATGTGCACAATAATTTTTTAAAACGCACAGCCAAATGGAGAAGCCGAGAGAAAGAGTGGCCCATAGACGTGCTCTTAAGGTTAATTAGCACAATTTTGTGTTGTTTTTATGGCCAAAAAACAAGCGTCTGGCCACACGCCATTCAAGCTGGCGTTCCTGCACCCCACACTCTCAATTTCTTCATCCCGGCTCGACTTCATTTGCGGTCTCGCCTGTAGCAGCAGCAGCAGCCAATTTTCTTTTAACAGTTGTTTGGGTTTTCCTCTCTGCTGTTCTGTGCTTCCTTTAACCGTTTGCCATGGCCATTGTA